TAGAGACGGGGTTTCACCATGTTGACCAGGATGGTCTCGATCTCTTGACCTCGTGATCCACCCGCCTCGGCCTCCCACAGTGCTGGGATTACAGGCTTGAGCCACCGCGCCCGGCCTAGTTTTTATATTTTTAACCCATTAGGCTAAAATCCACTTTCAGAATTTTGGGGAAGCCAGAGTTAGTTAATTAACTTGTCATTCCTAATTATTTCATAAAGTTGATTCTAAGTTGATTATAATTTGCAGTATGTTTCGAGTTGGGGATATCCATTATAACCATATAAAGCATACATATTTATACACACACACACACACACACACACACACACACACACACAATCACACAGACATATCTTTGACAATGATTAGAAGTTCATTTGGAGCACTGGTTTAATGATCATTAGGTTCCTTTGACCTGGAAATTTCATTTAGAAACATTAGGAAAATATATATCTAAGAAGTAGTATTCTAGTTTCTTTCTTCTCATTGATGAAGCTGCAGTGATCGTCATTGTGATTCTGAAGCATAAACTTCAGAGTAAGTCCTGGTTAAAGGGCTTCCTCTCTTTTTTTAAAAAGCAAGATTTGAAATTTTTTTCTTTGTAACCTAAATTTACAATAAAGAGTTAAAGAGAAAAGATAATGAATGTTTTCCCTGATAATTCAGATTATTATTAGGAATATGGAATTTTTGGATCACTTGGCCCTAGAAGGTGGAGAGTTGAAGGTGAACATTTCATTTTGGTTTCAAATATTTTAAATTTGCCTGCAGAAATTATGTTTTCTGCTTAATACAACCGAAGCCCTCTTAGCTGGTCTTACTTGAGTTGAGAATATTGCATCCTAGTGTGCTCTTTTGATTTTGTTTTGCTCTAAAGTAAATTTTTAAAAATTTAGGTGTGCTATCTGGCATCAAAGACAAAACCATTGTTTGCTAAAGGCTGTAACCTAGGGCATTATACACTAAATGGGAATACAGGAAAACATATTCTTCAGACGTACGTGTTTTGTTGCAACTAGGGCAGTACCTACAGCAAAGCAGTCTGGGTACGATGGACTGGATCCAGACTGCGTGGTTTCATTTCTGCTTCTGCTTTTTACTAGCTGTGTGCTTCAATTTCACAAATGTGAAAGATGAATAATAACTCGTGAGGATTTAGTTAAGTCTGAACTTGTAAAGGTAGCACTTAGAACCATGCCTGGCATATGTTAAGTACTATGCAAGTGTGAGCTTAAATAAACAAAGGAATTTCAGATTTTGTCTTTGTCATGTTAGAGAGGCTAACATCAAGTGATGGCTGAAGAAGCATACAACTAGTTAGATTTAAAAGAAAAATGATCTTTGGGATTAATCCTCTCTTGTGAAAAGTTTTCTAGAGCTTCCATCCAGCTGTAATCAAAAGCTGGAGGACAAGAAGGTGAGTAAAGTGTAGCAGAGTAAATGCCATTGATTAAAGAAAGGCCAGGTCCTTGCTTTATGACAATTGTTTCTATTATTTCTATTTGGAGAGAAAGACCTTTGGTGTTACCCATCAGCAGGAGATGGACTGTAGTCTTTGTGTGGATTGACAAACATCTGAAGTTTAACAATGTGAAGGGCTTTCTTTGCAGGAAATGAAAAAGTTGCGATTTTCCCTAAGTAATTTAGAGTCACTATTGAGCCAGCCAGGTTGGGCCCACTAGTCTCTACAACAGTTTTGTGACATTAGCCTTGTGCTGTTGCAGCATTTCAGATTCATGGAGCCTTTTGCTTAGAAGACCTCTCTTCCTTCTGACTGACACAGCCCCATCACAGGGTGCAGGGCTTGGCAAGTGGAGTACAGGATGGATTTCAGCCGTTACCACCTCTTCCCACCAGGACACGGTGCAGTATACAAATGGCACATTGAATGTGGTAGCTATGAAGACAGGTTTTTGAATTTCACTTTCTGTGCTTCAGCTCAGGAGATACGTTGTTTATTCTATTGTTCTGTCTTAGTCAACTTTAATAGCTGGATCTGGGGAAGAGATGGTTCAGTATTTTTTGTCGTTGAATCCGATGGTTGATTGCTAATTATTAGTTAAGGTAATCTACAAACATCCTGCTGACATTCAAGATTGTTTTCTATCAGACGTTTCATGAAGCCACTTAATTTAGGGTTAAGGTCCTGCTGGACCTTATAGGAATCTAAAAGCAAGGAGAAAGGCATCAGAATATCACACCCTTTTAGCTATAAATCATATTTCTGTAATGCTGTTGCTACTTTTTTTCTACATGCTCTTGCAATTTAAGATGATGCATTTTATTTCCAGTGGTTTGCAAACTGTAACTGAAAGACAGAATGCTCGGAAAAGCCTCTGGCTAAAAACTAGTCTATTGACATAGAATCATGTCAGGAGTGGCCCGTGAGATTTGTGGGTTTTGGCCTCTTGTTTCTCATCCAATATTTCTTTTCAGGATTATCACAGTTAAATTCCTCATAGGATATGCACTAGATTAAAATCACATTAAAGCTTGGACTTAAGCATAGCAAAAAGTCTTGATTCTTTGACATTACCTCCCAAGATTCTTCTGTTATGGTTTCAGTGGTCCTGAACTTTGGAAGATGCAGATAAGATAATAACTCCACTATCCCCTACAAGGAGGATGCCACCTGTAATAAGGCACTGAGAAGTTTTATTGTCTCAAATATATTTATTCTCATTCTTAAGAAAACTTGAAATAACTTGTGTTGTTTTGTTCTTATTTCTGTTTAGAAATCTTTTTCATTTCCCCTGCCCTGTCTTTTCCATTCAGAAATGAGTACAGACTGTTTTTTAGCTCACTCATGAGCTCTAGAAACAGTCGTTTTGATTATTAAATTTTTATCTAACAATAAGTAACATGCACTTAATGCATTATAGTTTATAAAGCACTTTTTTCCAAATGCATTACACATTTAATATCATGAACTTTTGAGATGGATATTACAATTTTCTCCTTTTTTGCAAACTGGGAAACTAAAGCTCAGAGATCCATGTACTGTGCTACCCAAAGGATATAGGAAGAGAACCAGACTTTTTACCTTTAATTGATCAAAAAAGAGATGTCATCACAATTTCCATGTGAGTAACCTGTCCTGAAATTATAAGACATCCTTTGCTCACTTAATCACATGTAGTGTTGTTGCTGGACTTTTCCTTAGTTCAGCTAAAGATGGGGTTCTTGTCATAGGGCCATGAAAATTTAGGCTTGCAGACAATTTAAAGGGTGAGTAAGGCAGGGTTTTATTGGGTGGAAAGGAAGACAAGGGGAAATGGAGACTCTTAGCAAAGCAAGAGAGTGTGCTTCTTGCCCCTGGGTTCCCGCCTTGCTGATTGAATCCCAGGTTTCACCCAGGAAGAGGAGGGGCTGGGCTTCTCCCTGCAGACTTCTGTGGCTCCGCCCCAGTGCGCAGGCCAGTTGGAGTTTTGTTGGGGAGCCTTTCCCATGTGACTGTCTCTGTGTAGTACATGTGATGTGGCCTAAATTGGAAAATATCTAAATTAGTAGCTACCTGTGAATTTGTCCTAACTTATTTAGAGAATCTTTTGAAATGATTTAAAATTCTTTGGGTTGTCAGCTCAGACTACGCGCGCGCACACACACACACACACACACACACACACGAACAACCCTTGAGCAAAATTAACAGTAGTGAATCTGCAGCCTTTCAAAGTAATCAGAGAACCTTGAACTCCAGCTAATTTGACATTTTCACCTTTTCTAACTTTTTTCAGAGTGTGTTGACATTCAGGTCAATTTTGAGCTGCTTTTAAGAATACCTAGTGTCTAGTATAGTATAGGTATTTCCATAAATGACTGAATTGTTCACCATATGGACAAATGACAATTTGTAAATAGGCATCTCTAAATGCAGGGTACCTACATGCAATACAAATAGAAGTCTCATTATGTTTATCATTTTAAACTAGAAGGTTTTGGCATAGTTTGAAGTGATATTAGAGAAGAAGCAAGGACTTTGGAACCTGAAAAGATCTGGAATTGAATCTTCACCTTAACATTTACTGCTGGTTATTACACCTTTGTTACGCATTCCACATAACTTCTCTGATCTTCAGTCTCTGCACCTGCAAATTTGGGATTATATTATCTACTTACAACATTACTGGAAGGACCATCTGAATTAATATGTGCAAGGTACCCTGCACAGTGCTTAATGCATGAAATGTGCTCAAAGTTCATGCATTTTTAGAACTTATTTGTATATACAACTTTGTAGCCAATTAACAGCACTCCCAATTAACAGATTGTATATTTTCTGATTAACTTTTGTGTGTAAAAATCCAGCTGCATAATCTATGGTATAAAAGACCTATGGTGACAGTAGCAGTTCAGTATGCCTATTCTGAACTCTTCACAAAGAATAAAAGGCCAAAAATAGTTAAGATAATTTTGAAGATGACCAAGATGCAGATATATACATTAATAGATCTCAAGACTTACTATGAAGCCATTGTAATCAAGGAAGGGCAATGATGGCAAAGGCATAGACATACATGCTGATGGGACAGAAGGAACAGTTAGAAAACAGACCCACACACAAGTGGAAACTTGTTATATATAATAGGTAATATAGGAGAAGAGTTTGATGATTCAGTAATGGATTCTGGTACAACTAGTTACTCACATGTGAAAAAGTAAAATTATATCCCTATATCATGCCGTGTGCAAAAATCAATCACAGGTAGGCTGAAGACCTAAATGTGAAAAGTACAATTTTTAAACATCTAAAAGGAAATATTTTATCACCTTGGGATACCTCAGAATTTCTTAAACAATGTACAAAAACATAAACATTAAAGAAAAAGGTGGATAAACTTGACTATGTTAAAATTAGAAATTTCTGAAATTAAACACTACCTAAACAAGTGAAAAGTGAGTGAGAAAGAGATTTAAACATATAAAAAATTTTATACACAGTGTACATAAAGAACCCTCATAAATCAATAAAAAGACAACCCAATAGAAAAATACGTAAAGGATGTGAACAGGCAGTGGACAGAAAAGAAAACCTGAACGACCAATAACCATATGAAAATAGTGATCAGGGAAACACAAAATTAAAACCACCAGAAAGTAGGATTTTACATTCACCAGAGATCAAGTATTGGTGAGGATGTATAGCAAAGACATTTTATGCACTGCTCATGGGAGACTTTCACTGGCATCACCACTTTGGAAAACAATTCAACAAAGTCTAGTACAGTTGAAGATGAGCCTGCCATATCACTTGCACCTCGACTAATCCCTACAGAAAGTCTCCCAGTACCTGCCACAGTTCCTTGTGCCAAGTAAGAGCTCAGTAAATAGATGTTACAAAAAGAAAAGGATGAAAGGAACGGAAAAAGGATGGAAGTAAGGAAAAGAGGGAGAGAAAGAAGGAGGGAGGGAAGGATGGAAGATAGAAAGGCTAGATATAAGAATATTTGTGTCATTGGCTTCTTTTTGCTTGGTTTTGGGTGTTGTGTTGTAGGACTGCTACTTTCTTGTCTGTATGATCTCAAACCACACCAAAGGTTTGTCGACTCCAGTGGAACTTTGGGAATCTCTGAAGATTCACCTCTGCCTCTCAGATTTTACTGTGAATAGTAGTAAGGATTTTAATAACTGATGAATACATTCTGTAAATGCATTTCCTTACAGAATTCACAGTGGTACTTCTTTAAATAGTAAGCTCTGATTGCATATTTGTAGTGAGTCTGTGTAATGTATAAAATGAGATGTACCAGTATATTATGGGTAGCATAAAATATTAGTTATTACTGGAACTTTACAATTCTATTGGCAAAGAAAGGTGAGTCCTGATACCCTGAAAAGAAAAAATGTTTTTTTTTCAGGCATGTGAGTAATCAAAAAGTATTTCAGGCTGGGCGCGGTGGCTCAAGCCTGTAATCCCAGCACTGTGGGAGGCCGAGGCGGGTGGATCACGAGGTCAAGAGATCGAGACCATCCTGGTCAACACGGTGAAACCCCGTCTCTA